GTTTATTGGCCGTGTAATAGCAGAAGTACGATACCTAGATTAGAACATTAGAGGAGAAAACTTTCAAGAACAACAATAATTAATAGTATTTTTAGTGAACACTAATTTTTACAAAAAGTTTTGGTTACAGTTACAAAATGCGAAAATACACGATTAGTTAGTTCCTACCTGTGTTGCTAGTTGTCGTGTTGATCGACATTGCCATCTCAAATATTTATATTTATCCATGTTTCTGCTTGTTGTATGTCTCCAGAGTGAAAACGCGACTTGACTTATACTTTTTGTCTTATGAGTTTTTGTAAAAAATGTATCACAAAATCTTCATAATTAGCCATTTTGCTTTTTTTCGATCAGCTCTGGGTTCGACTGGAGCTAGAATATACATACTGTTTGTGCGTACACTTCAAGGCTGGGCGACAACTGTTAGGGAACATGAAACAAAAACGTTTATTCAGAATTCTTACTTTTTACTCCATCAACTTGTCATTCGATCTATGGAATCACATTCCTCCGAATTTATCTCCATACTTTTTAAATCAGAATTGAATAGGAATTACTGAGTAAATCTACTTGACATTTTTGGGTGTTGTTGTTTTTTGTAGGAAGTGTTATTCACTCTAGAGGAAGGTTCAGGCACTTCCGAGCAATCCTAGATCATTCTAGTTTGCAGAAAATGAAAATACCAGAACTTTTCCAAAATTGTCTATCTCGTGCTGAAAAATGTTACATTCGAATAATGATTCTATTTGATTTCGAGCTCTGACAGTGTACTGGACAATAATCTGCGGACTAATTTGACAATCATCAAACAGTCAGAAGTTTCTGTACGAACAGTGGATCAGTTGTCGGTAATAGGTCAAGGCTCCCTCAGCCAACTCGTAACGTTCTCGTATACGCAATCTATACGTATACAGTCAGTGATGTGTCAGTGACAGCTAACTGAATAAACTAGGTCACGACTTGTCGCCGACTGTCAATTTTCTGATTGTCAGCAAACAGGCTGTACGAACAAACCAATAAACGTTCGATAATTCCACTTGTTAGTACAGTGCATCGTCTTCCAGTAGTACATAGGTCCAAAACTGTATTTTGTTATCGGAAATTTAGAATAACATGTATTTTCTTGGTAATCAGTATCCCTTCAATCAAAGTACCGACGATATGCCCGAGGTAAAACAACAACTCTAGACTTTAAGAGCAACGTACGATTACTTTTATCAATTGCTTCGTTTTGGATCACATCGCATCTGATTCCTCAAACATTCTCTACTAACTTATGATAATAGTAAAAGCAAATTTTGGAAAGCAGATGTATTTGAGAATTTTCTAACAAGATTTTATCTAGCTTGCTTTGTTTGTTGGTACGTCTGTTGGTATGTCAGAAAGTGAGGGACATATCTTGAAACTGAATTTTGAACCAGTTAACCTTAAAAAATTAAGCTGAAATTTTACATACATGTTTGATTCGCGTGAAAATACAAAATATATTAAGTGCCTCCATGATTAATCCGTTTCATTCGATCGAACTGGGACCAGGTTTCCCTAGGAGCAATTAGGGTCCAGCTTGAAATAAGCGGTGTAAATTCACACACTCATGCTGAGACGAGGCCGATATAAAAAGCTATTCCTTATAGCTACTAAATAGTAAAAAATAAATATAATGAGAAAATGTATTTTTAAAAACAATGTTTTATTTATCTGTTAAACCCAACGAATTTAGACTAGGTAGAAGGAGCCAGTCAAGGATTTGTTTGTATCCTAATTTTTATAGTCAGTAGTAAAGATCAAAGTGCACTTGGCATAAGTCAATTTTTTAAGTTCTGTCATTAGACTTCTATGTTTAGTATTGTTCCTTTTTTTAAAGTGAATGTAACTGCGGTGCTAGACGATTTGAAGATATAGTACTTCTTACAAACATAATAAAGATGGATGATTCCACAGGTATTATAAGTATTTTCTTAAAGCCCTATCACTTTGGTAAAACCGTTCGTTAAGCCGAACAAATAATTCTGCAATAATCATTTCCGAATGGAAATATGCGATACTATACTTATAAACCTTTAAACAATAGTAAAGTTCCTTCATTTCAGATTTTCACGTAAACGTGTTTCATCCTTTTTCCCTCTCTATGGTAAACATAGTATGGTTTTGTTTGAAAGCTTGACGCGAATGAGCTTCACTATTGTTTATAGGTTTAAAAGTATTTACAAAGGTTTAGATAGTTCTAACAGCTAAGCAAAAGCTTATTTTGGTAAATGTATTTTTTTAATTTAATTAATTAGCCATAAAGTTTATTTTGCGCCACCCTGTACTGTATTCACATTAAATTTTGGCGCAATCTGTGTACACAATAATGTATAACTTGTACTAAAAGTACTCCAAGAAAGCATATGAAATTACGGTACGTTCACCGTTACATCGACAACAAAAGCCAGTGAACTATTTTAAATCAATCTTAAGAGCTTTCTGACAGCAAGCGATAAACCAGCTGAAAAATACTAGCATGCGACAACTTATTACTTTTTACCAATTCTGTTGTGCATTACGCCAGAACTGTACAAATACCCTCATCGTGCACTAGCCTGTGGAGATCATAACAGTTTGCTTCCTAAGGGATTGGTGTTTACCTTGCCAAAATAAGGAAGGGGTGGGCAGATCAACCATTCAATGGGCCACTCTAGGTACTGATAACAAGGGAGGAGTTGTCTCACTTTTCACTAAATATCGGTCATTAGTAAAGTTTAGCTCATTACGGTCCATCTTCGACTGGCCAAATGTCCGACTACAGTGAGACCCTTGAGAGTGCAGGAACTTACACCGACATGTTGCAGACAGATCCTACAGAGTACGAAGATGAGAACTACAGTTCTCCAACGGAATTAAACCTTTATGAAAACAACTTTGTGGTGAGTAGATGGAAAATTTACTCTAGTTTTATTCATAAGCAAAATCACATGTCATATTCAAAACCTGTTACCACTGTCAGGAAGAGAAACAAAATAAGTTAGGCATTTTAACTAGTAATATACATTTATCGCATCGAACCGAAAACCTTGAGTTTTCTTATTGCGATAGTGATATGTTACTTCAAAGGTTTTTTTACCCTTTTTAGCTTTCACAAGATCTAGACAAATATATGAGCATCTTATATTTGTAAATTGCCGTTACGTGAAAGTAGGATATTTGAGCTGTTGTTGGATTAAATCTTACCTGCTGTTATACAGGGTGACTTTGAAGTTGAGTCATTAATTTTCAAATAATGATTGTAGAAGGAAGATAAACCAAAATATGTGTGTAAAAATAAAAAAAAATTAAAAAAAAAATTTACCTTGTTTTATAAAGTATCCTCCCGACAAGTATTTCAGTGCGGACCTGTATTTGATCGTGAGGTCTTGGAGCACCGGCATGCCGTCCATATGTGAGATCTTAAGTCAAATGATTCACGAACCCGTTGTACTACATTAACAAAGGCACGAGGGGTTGGTTGCACTCGATTGGGAAACCGATCCGCATAAACATGTGCCATTTTTTATTTCGTTTGAGCCACGTAACAGACACCACTATCCACTACCGACTGACACTGACTGTATACAACTGAATGAAATAATTGTAAAAACATCATTCCAAATTCTTTCGCTTTTTTGTTTCCGATGCGATGAACCGATAAGGCGAATTATATCCGTTGTCGCCAAACACGAGCACATAATATTATTATTGAGACAGGGCGGTACTCAAACTTCCAAAGGGCTATAACTTTGTTACTTTAATTTTACCAGAAAAATGGTAAAGGAAAAAAACATTTCTTTTGATCAGATCTACTCACTGTTAAAATAAATTACTCAACTTAGAAGTCACCCTGTATAGCTTTTGCAAATAACAACGGGTATCAAAACAATAATTTCTCAATAGAATTTCAAATTCTGAACATAGAAAATAAAAGTGGTCAATTCAGTGCTTGCTTCCCTTGGTATACCTGTATACTCAAGAAATATAAAAAAAAACAAAAACTTCATTTTCCTTTACAAGTTCTTCACATGAAGATGTATCGTTTTTATACTTTTTGGTACCATGGCATCATTTTCTGCAGGATACTCGTTCATACCAACTATACAATCGTTTTGTCGCTTCAGCGCAAAAGTATAGGCCTACTTTAAAATAACAATATTTCTTTGTTCCAGTATCTGGATCTACAACGGCCAATCGACCAGCAATCACCTTTGGCATTGTCATCAGAAGAGCCCAAAGTTGCTTTCGAGGAGAAACCGCTCCTGAGTGTCCGCATTCCCCATGAATGCACAGGCAGCCAGGGTAAAAGATCGACAGGCAAGTCAGCACTATAGTGATAGCCAGTATCAACTTTTATTTTAAATACTATGTTCAGTAACCCACGAAAAACTATATACACAAATTCAAAATTCACAGAAATATACATATCTGCATAAGAAATGTGATAGTTGAATATGAAGATACACATTGCCATCACGTGGGTAGATTCACCCATAACGTAGACGAATTTAATAAATTTCCTTTCCTAAAATCTCCATTTTTTATTAATCGTTTCTAAAAAAGTTCCTGAGCGACTGATCTTCCAAAACTTTGTAACGTGTTGGCCCATAGAAAATTCAGTACATTGGTTGCTGAGATTACGTGAACAAACTGGCGGCAAGTGGCTAGAATTTTCATGGTACAGTTATCCCAGAGCGCCAAAGAGCACATTGTTCCAAATGAATGAACATTTATTTGCCAACGAGGTTTGATTCCTTCAATATTACCTGGAATAAAAACTGATAATCACTGATGGCTAGACAAACTAAGTGTCATTTTGTTTCGTTCCAGGTACAGAAAATAGTTCAACATCAGCTTCGAGCAGACCACGGCCAAATTCAAGCGGAACCTCCAAGGCGAAGCGAACCAGAACCGCGTATACCGCACACCAGCTTACACAATTGGAGAAACAATTCCACACTGAGAAGTATTTGTGCCGACGCCGACGCATCCTAATGGCACAGGAATTAAGTCTCACGGAACGCCAAATCAAAATCTGGTTCCAAAACCGGAGGATGAAGTATAAAAGGGAAGAGAAACAAAGAGTGTCATCTCCTACTCTGAAATTCGCTTCATCCGCTGCTAGTCCAACTACCACACCAGGAATCCAATCGATAAGACCTAAACACCATTTGGTGACAATGAGGCAGGCTGGTCATGAAACGTGCATGTCACCGATGCTACCGAGAAACCAGAGGGAAGATAACGTTTGGTGTAACCAGTATAGTTCGTATCAACGTCTCCAACTAGATACGAATTATTATCAATACATGCCTCAGAATCATAACTGCTATCGTGTGCACGTCGAACAACCTGTGGAGAATAATCCATCGTGTCAGCCTTGCCTCAACAACCATCCCACCTCAACAAGTACAGAACAGCCAGATCAATCTTTGGAACAGAAAAATGAGTATTCTGTTGCTTGGATCAACCAATGCTTAGGTAACGAAGGTGCCACTGAGAGTCTCATTAGTTTATAAATTGATTGTACTTGTAATGTCTCAATAAAAATTATTTAGGGTGGGTTTCACCAAGGTTGTCAAATCAACAGTCCGTTATTCTCCACCTATAGGGTAACAGTCCGTTAAATACAACGAATGTGCTTAAAGTTCCAATCAACAAATTTTAGGAACCAATAACTATGAAATGTTGAAAACAAAATACTGTCAAAGTATGAGATGACATCTTGTCATTGAAACATCACCAGCTTATTGAGTATTAAGAACTTACATATAATTCAGTCATAATTTAAAGAAATGTTTGATTTTTGAATGAAATTCATGTTTTAATTACCATTGTTGACTTTTTATTCATGTTTATGTTATTTTCTTCAATTGATATGCAATTTTACTGATTTAACATCACCTCCCGTATTTTTTCTCCAATAAACTTCTTGCAGATAGCCACTAAGCACTTACTTGATGACAGGCTCTACCAAAAAGTTCATAGATATTGCTCGTTTCCAAACATTCATTCATTTACTTGCCGTTCATCCGAACCATTATGGCACCTTAGATTGGTATTCCTACAAAACCATTCAGGTCTTTTGATATCCATACATCCATAAAGTTGAATATTTTTCGTTGTTCAGGAACTGAACAAACATCCACACTATATTCATAGCGAATAAGAAATTCACAAATATATGCCTTAAAGCTACCAGCAAACCTAAAACCTGCAAAAAACTACAAATTTTCCATATTTTTCTTTTTTCACGAGTACACATTCTAGGTTATATTTATATTAGACATTATTTGAATACAGCTGATTATTGCATTTCAAGACTCATCGAGTGGCACATGTGTGGGATCTGTCAACCCTTGGTCCCAGTCACAAAACATATACTCTGAAGAAGGTTTAATTCCATGCTGTTCAATGACAACACGGTGACTTGTCGTCACCCTTCCACATTTTACCAAAAATTAGATTTTCATGCCATCTTTTAGTTCTAAAGGTAACTTCTCCGTGCACAAAATATCTAAGTCCCGAAACTATTATTTACACGTTAAAACTCGTCAACGCAATATACGTATCTCCTGATACTGTTTAGTGTCCCGCGAAAAATGCGTAAGCGCCCAGTCCCTATAGGAATAGTGCGGTTTGCGTGTCAGTACTTGTCAGTCCGCACATTTTGTTATTCTTAACGTGTCTAATTAACTTTTTGGAGAGCTGTTTTTTGCAAGGTGGATGGTAAGTACTACAAATATGTTATATCAGCGTTTTAAATATTCAGCATTCGATCATAATCTTTATAAATGCAATTGTGCATGACACTGGAGATACGTAGTTTTCCATAACCTTCCATATTTCTCTACAGATGTCATTTTAGGGAGATACATAGTTTGCGTACAATCCACTAGAATAAGTTCATAGATTATCATTTTGTTTTCTAATATTTGTTTTTTATCAAACCACAATAGCTGTCTAAAATAGTTTACTGACATTTCGGCTGCCGCATAATGAATTATATGAATTAAAGAAATCAAGAAACCAGGTAAATAGATTGATGAAAAATGATCCATAGTCATGTCTTAATTCAAATGTGTTTTTATAAAGGCAGCCGTGGAGGGTTTTTATATTTCAAATTAATTTTAAATCGTCATTCTATTATTTGAGAAAGGATGTGGAAGCCTCACTGAAGTCCTTACCACCTATGGTTTTGATTGTTGCCCAGAAAAATCAAGATAGAATAACCACGTCTTTTATGAGGTTAAAAATCCTTATTCCCAACATTGTGATTATCTTTTGTCCACAGATCATTCAGAATGTCTAGCAGAGCCAGGAAAATATTAGATATGGCAAGAGAGGGAATCTATGAGGTTGGAGATAATGGAATATGTAATCTGATCAGTTGTGCAGAAAATAGTATTGTGGAACCAGGATTTGCCACCCTCGAAGATGTAGTTTACCCCCAACCAACACATGATCTGTTTGATTCAGCTATACAGGAATTTCACCAATCGGTACCAGCACTAATTGACGGCATAGGGCAGTCTGGCAGCACACAATGTGACACATTACAGTCCAACGAAGAAGTTAATTTGGTTGAAGGGGAAAATGAGAACGCTGCATATGACACGTCGCCATCAAATGAAAATAGAGTTGATTTGATGGAAGAAGAAAAAGAGAACGCAGCATATGGAATGGAAGAACAAACAGAAGAGTTGTTCCAGAGAAAAAGGGCTAAGCGGCATAATCTTGACCAATCAATGTGGTTAAAAATTAGAAATCAGGCGAACCGCGAAAAGGGCTTAGCATATAAAGGCAAAATGAAGGTTGGTGGAAAATGGAAATATGACAATATAACAACTAAATCTAGTAAAATAGGGTGTAGAAAATTGACTCAGGAAAACCGAGAATATATATTCAATATATTTTGGAACCACATGAATTGGCAAGAGAGAAAAATTTATATCCAGAGTTTGGTGAAAATTGAAAATGTAAAAAGAAGAAGGGGAGCCAATGAAAATAGTCGAAGAAACTATTCACTAAAGTACTACCTTAAAGTCGAGAACAAAGAATTAAGAGTCTGCAAGAAAATGTTCCTAAATACTATGAGCATGAAGGAATCTACAGTATTAAACTGGACGAAAAGTGACAAATTGGAAGAAAATGAAAAGAGACTAAATAATGACAAAAGAAAACAGAGTAGGAGTAAAATGTATGGAGGAAGATACGAGGCACTAAACCAGTTTTTCGATTCATTACCGAAAGTCGAATCACACTATTGCCGAGCATCAAGCAGCAAACTGTATTTGGGACCGATGTGGGCTTCAACAAATCAGTTGTATGGCTTTTACAAACGTCATCATTGCCCTGACAGCGGTGATGAACCCGTATCACGAACGATCTTTTTCAAAGAGTTCAATAAACGAAATCTCTCTATATATGTTCACAAAAAGGACCTGTGTGACACCTGTGTTGCATACGATGCAAAAAATTTTCCAGAGGAAGAATACGATTTACATCAGGTAATGAAAAAAGAAGCTAGAGAAGAAAAAGAGAAAGATAAGAAGTCATCTGCTTCAGTCTTTACGATGGATTTGTAAGCAGTTCTCCTATGTCCAAAATCGACGGTCAGCGCCATGTATTATAAGACTAAATTGATCGTCCACAATTTTACATTGTATAACTTAAAAACCCAAGACGGATACTGTTTTTTATGGAACGAGACGGAAGGTGGCCTTACGTCAAACGAATTCTCATCTATATTGGCTGACTTTATAGAGAACACTATAATTCCTTCACTACAGGAAGAGCAAAAAGAAATAATCCTATATAGTGACGGCTGTACAGGGCAGAATCGAAACTCTATCCTGGCGAATACTTTGGTTAACATCGCAATGCTCCATAAGATCACCATCATCCAAAAATATCTCGAAAAAGGGCATACGCAAATGGAAGTCGACTCAATGCACTCTTGCATTGAGAAGAAGATTCGGAACCGTAAAATCAATATACCTGCTGATTATGTGCATGCCTGTGTGATTGCGAGACAAAATCCAAAGCCTTACAATGTAAGATACATTACATTAAGCTTCTTTAAGAAATCCGATACTCTTAATTACTACAAATCCATTCGACCCGGTAGAGATACAGTAGTTAAAATACGTGCTTTAAAGTATGACCCATCTGGAAAGATCTACTACAAATTGAGGCACACTGACCCCTGGGATCAACTAAATCAGAGAGTTAAGCTGTCACCATCGAGACCAACACAGAGCTTACCAAACATGTATCAAGAAAGAAGGAAGATAAAAAAGGAAAAATACGATCATCTGAAAATTTTGAAGAAAACTCTACTTCAAGATTACCATACCTTCTATGATAATCTTCCCTACGAGGAAAATTAATTTTTCACTATAAACTATGTTCTATGTAAATACATAATATAATACCTAAGTTTAGGTTTTTCTGGAAAAATACGTATATCCCCTACCATAAGGACAAAAATTGCGTAACTCCTTAAAGAAACATAGTTTTATACTTAGCACATTTTTTTTTGTTTTCATCGATGTGTGGCAGTTTTTCCAAGAATTAGTATAAATTTCGATAAATTATTACATAAACTTAATATACAGGAAAGTTTTTTGTCTCCCCTGAAAAATTTGCCTTTGGGGAGATAAGTGATTTTCTCCGGAAGGCGACGTTGTGTGGTTGTCAGCGGCCATTTTGTGAGGGTGCGACGTGGTTGCCAGATTGTGCATTAATATCCCGTTTCACCCCCCTGATCCCAGTAGAGTGAGCTCCGCCAACTGTTGAAATATACTCTACTATGCTTTATAAGTGTATTCGTGGAATTTTTCCCAAAATTACACTTGAAAATGCAAATGAAAATTTTAAATTATTTCCATGACGCCGCAAAATAGCTCCATCGGTACCTCGGGTTATACATCTTGACAGTCAGAATGTTCGATAGGATCCTATATTTAGAAGTATCAATACATTTCACGAGTATCGTCATCTTTCGATCCGGACTGTGTCAGAAAGCGTGACTGCCATTTGGCTGCGACATTACCCTGCCAAATCAGACATATCTTTCAACATTTTCAAAGAAATTGTACAAAATCTTCAAATTTGTGAAGTTAGTGAGTTTCACTTCATACATTATTACCAGACATGCCCAAATCATCAGTTGCTGCCGTGATATTCATCCCGACCACTGCATCCCCACGACTAGGCGACCTGTATGTTAAATTTGTATTGATAGGGCAGCGGGTTATGCTATAAATCATATATCACAGTTTTTATGCACTGATTGGAACGGTTAGATGATACCAAAAATATTTTCATAAATAGGAGATCTTTCCCATTCCGGATCGAACAATCCATCAAAGATGGTTATAATTATGATACCTAGTAAATTTACATGAAAAATCCTCTATATGTAGGTATATAAGAGCTTTCTTATATTTGTTCATCAACTTGATGATACAACATATCTGCTAAAAATGATCATAATCAGGATAGTAAACTATGACGAAGGTCCACTATATGTAAGAATTTTCAGATACTTCATTTGCAATTTGACAACAGACCATGACGGTGTTCACATTTTTCAAATATTCTTCAGGAAGTGTTATCAGTCTAGCTCCAACTATCATAAGTACAATGTTTGTATTCCTACTTTAAATTCAAAAGCAGCAAATGTAAAAGATTCATGTCGCACCCGTCACCACGGGACGTGATCGTCGTTAGATGCGGCAATCCTGCGAGTGACAGATAGATAACCCCACCAGTGAAGAAGGAAATCAAAAAGGAAATTTTAATAGTTTTTATGATTTCTGGACTTAAAAGACATTATTTGTGAGACATTTTTCATATTTTTTTGTCTATGTCCATTGTAGTTGCATTATGCATCACGCAAATGTAGGGATTGACACGTCTTACACATAGTATCTGTGTTTTAGGATGGAAAGGACAATGTTTTTATTGCTTTGAAGAAATTCATTAACCCACAAATTAATAAATAATTACTATTATGATGTAAAGGAAGATGAGGAATTGGATGGAATGTATTTTATGTTCTATTTTCTTGCAACATACAGGCAAATCCACACTATTCAAGAGGTATGTAATGACAACTTTCAATATATTGAAGTTGGTAAATTCGAGAGTGCCATGCATTAACAAACGTCCATATCTGCTACCAAATTTAACAGCTAGAAAATCGACCTATTATTTGCCGCACTCCCATTGGCTTTTGGGGATAACTGATAAATTTATAACACAGATCAAAATACATGAAAGTTGACCTGTCTTCTCTGTACAAAAGCATCATTTTGGAATCAAGAAGTGGTCTTGTTTATAATACAGTCGAATTTTCACGATTTTATTCAATATTTTAATATAAATCACTGATATTCGGAGACCCTTGACAGCTTCTGTCAAATTGCATTTCGATAAGGTATTTTCCCGTTGGTCCATAGTATTAATGTTGGTGAAATCGGCCCTTAGTGTGTTTTCTAATTTGTGTAAGTTGCAAGCAGTAAATTGACTTTTTTGTACATTATGCTCGTTTTTAAATATACCTGTTCGCTCTCAAACAAATAAACGAGTTAAAAATATTGACTCAAAGCTCACTTCGCATCCGCTGCAAAATCTAAATTTGAAAAAATTCACTAATACTTAAATTTGACGGAGGCTTTCACCAATAAGGGAGCATATCGTAATGCAACTTGACGGAGTCACTCAAAGATCTCTAAATATCAGTAATTTCTATTGAAATATTGAATAAAATCGTGAAAAAGCGGCTGCTTTATAAATAAGGGTACATTATAGATGTAATATTATGTCTTTGAGGTTCAAAATTAGGATAACTTTCATAGAAGTGCCCATTTCTACCATTTCATAAAAGATACGAAACTTATTTGAATGGACCAATGTCTCACTTCTAGCCATTAGATTTAATAGGATGTTTTCACTGTTTTTGATGAATGGCCATGCAATTCAATCTATTTTTGTCTTTAAATCGCATACAGTTTTGTACATACTACGTACCTGTAGAAATATACCGATTTTTTTTATATGCAAAAAAGGATATAAAAAGTATTCCAACTGGTTCATTATATTTTGTCATATCAAAAGCAATTTATTGAAAATGTATTATCTATAAATTCACGCCAAATGTAAACTAACCGCACATTCTGCATTCCTGGGTCCTAAAACATCGATATTTGTAAATGTATCCGCATCCACCTATTATTCATCGTCTAGATATTGTAAGTCAGAATTAAATTTAGGAAAATATTTGCAAAACTTGTTATATTTTTCTGTTGTTTTTAATATTATTATAACACCTCTGGGATATCAATTGCCCTAGGAGTTATCTGCAGCGCTGCCAAACCGGGAAAAAACACAGAATTCGTGAATATTGTCGTTGAATTCATAAGAGAAAAAGCATAAGTTAAGTCGCGTTTTTACCCTCTACAACAAGCAGAAATATGGATAAATATAAATATCTAAGATGGCAAAGTTGATCATCACGACAACTAGCAACAGGCAGGAAGAAACTAATCCTGTATTTCCGCATTTTGTAACTGTAACCAAAACTTTTTGTAAAAATTAGTGTTCACTGAAAAATAGTATTAATAATTGTGGATCTTGAAAGTTTTCTCCTCTAATGTTCTAATCTAGGGATTGTATTTCTGCTATTACACGGCCAATAAACAAAATAATAAGCACCAATCACTTTGATAGCTTAAACTGATTTGAGATTGCATCAAATATGGATACATATATTTTAAAACGGGTATTGAAAACAAATAATTCTATATTAGACCTTATAGTCATATAAAAAACTTAAAGTGGGGACAACTAATAGTCAAATATATGTATAATTAACTTCACAGCGCAACAATCTTTATATGGCCTCCGTCAATGATGCAACGATTCCAGGAAATCTATATTTTATGGTGGAAATATCGCTTTGCCCTATATATTTCTTCTTCTGTTGACCATTTTATGATTTCTGGTGCTAGCCTACTCAAAAAGTTGGTCAATCTGGATATAACTGCTAGCAGGGTACTCACAAAAACCTTGAACCTAACAACTACATCCCTGAAGATGGCTGTTTGATATCCAACAAACCATAAACATGTACAGGTTTCTTTATACGGAGTTAGCTTTCCATATGGCGCTGCCTGATATTTAAAATGGTTACTACTGAAACTTTTTCTGCGACTGTATTGCTTACTCTAAAATGTTACAAAAACTCGCTGTTGAAATTGCGGCACTAATTCCTCCACAATATTCAGGTTTTTGGGTTTCATTCGCTGCTTGGTTTATTGCTCGTTTTTTATACTCCGAAGCACCCGCGCAGGTAAAGCCTAAACGCCAGGGCAGCGAGGCTGCTATGAGGAGCTTAAAGTAACTTCGATAATCTGATGTTTAAACTTCCTAAGGTTAATAGAACTGGGAGAAGCCTCCGCATCTCCCTCACAATCTCGACACACTATCAGTCAGGCGGCTCCATCTAGCAGGGACATTGCCCGGCGGCATCATCGAGGAGAGCTCTGAGGAGCAAATTTTAGCAGTAGAAGAGAGCTAG